ACTTTGGGGTTCTTTGGTGATATATAGTTTCTTTGTCCTCCGCAAGCTGTAAAGGTTAGTAATAAAAATATTTAATGGGAATAAATTATAATGAATTATTAAGTATTAATAAGACATATACTTACCATCAGTGGCGGAGCCAGGATTTGACTTAAGGGTGGGCTAAACTTTACGGGGGGTTCGGTGGCAGTGCCCCCAATTTTTTTTTAGAAGCGATTCGTAAAATACATAACAAAACAAGTAAACATAATACTCAAAATGTAATTATTATAGCTCTTTAAACTACAATTGGATGGGCTAAAAATGAATTGAGTTGGCTAATTATATTAAATAATATAAAAATAACATTAAAAGAAATTGAGTGAGGGTGGGCTTCAGCCCACCCAACACTATACATAGCTCCGCCCCTGCTTACCTTGCTTTCAGCATTGCCACCACTCTGATTTCGAATTGTAACTTGAATAAGCGTTGCCGGAACAATGTGTACGAATAAGCTAATGATTTATGTGGTATCTTGCAATGATTTATGTGGTATCTTGCAACTAGTAATATAAGTTAATGATGGTGGATGTATTACATATCACGCCATTACACATCAAACAATGAATTACGAAGCAAGACCATCTCACTATATTTCAAGCCAATCATCTTCATCATCTTCATCCACCAATGAATCTGATCTTGAAGATTCTTCAAACGAGTTTGATATTCAAACTCGAAACACTAATTATATATGGAATCATACCATTCAACAACATCGAATGATACAACAATATTATTTATCGCAATCTCAGGATCATGTTACCTGGGGTGGGGCTGTTGTTGGCCATGCATATACGGATGGTGAAAGGGAAGCTGGCGCAGTTCTACAAAAAATGACTACTTTGGCGAAAATCCCACATACGACACACAATTCCCCAGGTGATTCTGAATGAGTAGTGATTTGTTTTAATAAATTAGAAGGGCTTTAAAAAGAACACTCAACTTCATGGAGGAAATCGTACGACAGTACATGACGACAAATTTTACGTCTTATCACAAAATGTGTGCATCTATCCAATTTCTTGGTTACGGTATTTCTGCTGATTCATTTAATCAATATTTTCGGATTGCTCAGTCAACTCTAATCAGATTGGTTAAAAAATTACCGTCATATCGTCAAGATATTTGGTGAGATTTATCTGAGAAATCCAAATGCGGAAGACATTGAAAAGTTGTTACAATTTGCAGAATCTCGTAGTTTTCCTTGGATGTTGGGGAGCCTAGATTGCATGCACTGGGAGTGGTAAATTTGCCCAACAGCTCATGCGGGGGCCTACCGTGGACGCAACAAAAAATGCATTATCATATTTGAAGTAGTAGCGTCGCATGATACTTAGATATGACATGCATTCTTCAGCTTCCCATGTACACATAACGATGTTAATGTCCTACAAAATTCAAATCTATTTCAAGCATTAACCAATGGTACATCTATACCAGTTAATTATTCGATCAAAGGTAGGAATTATAATGTCGGTTATGATCTAGCTGACGGTATTTATCCTAAATGGTCACCTTCAGTACAACCCACTAGTGTACCCAAATGTGCCAAAGAAACTTATTTCTTACAGAAACATGAATCGTATCGCAAAGATGTAGAACAAGCATTTGGAGTTCTTCAAGCTCGGTTTGCAATTATTAGAGGAGCGGCTCGATTCTGGAAGAAAAAAGACTTACATGATGTCATGTTTGCATGCATTATTATGCACAATATGATAGTTGAGGAGGAACGTAATGGATATCTAAACGCTATCCTTGACTATGAAAGTTCACCCACTATCCCTCTAGATGAACTTTCAAGAGGTATAAATAATATGAAATATGTTAGTTTTCTTGGTCAACATCGAAATCTGATAAATCAAGGAGAACATAAAGAACTAAGAAGAGTAGCACATATGTGGAATGAACATGACCAACTAGATGATGTTGAAGATGATGATAGTAATGATGATGATAATAATAGTGAATGAGACACTGTGCTAATAAGGGGTACTCTTTCCTGCTAGGCCAAACAAGGCTTTAATGAGGCCCCTTTGACCTTCAAAATTATCAATGAAATAATTTGTTTTGGCAAAAAAAAAAATGTTGTAACGTTTTATTTTTTTATTTTTTTTATTTTTTTTTATTGTAATATTTTTATGCATTTAGTTATAAAGTTATTGTTTATGTGTGGTTTTACTATATGCATAATAATTTACGTTGATTTTCATTCATGTTTCAATAGTTTTATAAAATTTAATATAATTTTAAGATTATATAATCAATAAAATTTACTACGTATAATCGGATCTATAGTCAATATTTTTAAAATTAAAACAGACTAAAATTATAATGAACATTAAATTTATAATTTTGTGATATATTTGGTGAAATACCGTGTGAGACCAAACCAAATGCTATTCTCTATAAATTGGAAAATGGTGAAATATTATTATTTTATTATTTAGTGTAAAATTTGATGGAATTAATGGGAGACCAAATACATTATTTCTTCACCAAAAGTAGTGAAATTATAGAGTGGTGTGCTAAGCATGAGAGATAAACACAATTTTTCACCACAAAAAATAGGATTTTTTGGTGAAAAAATAGTGATTAGGTTGGAAGATGTTGAGTTTCTTTCTTTTTTCTTTTTTCCTTTTTTTTTTTTATCTTTTATTTTTGGTAAAAAGAAAAACATACTTTTATCAGACAATATCTTCCAAACCTTTCTTTACAGGGGATAATTGCTTAATGTTTGTTGGAGGGTATGGATAAGCTCATTTTGTTATTTTGCTAAAAGTTCATGCGCGCTT